AAAGAAAAAAGTGTATATTGCTAGAAACTAATTAATTCAACAACTAGCTTAAACTTTAATTTTTTAAAATAGACAGTAGAATATAATCAACATTTTGAAATGAAATAGGATAAGGATTAACTAGAATAATTATTTTGTGATAGGGATTTGTTGAAATGGGCTTTACACTATTATTTTGAATACTGTAATGTACAGAGAACTTTAAAGAAATCACGTAAAATGTTTTTTCTGTAGTTTGATCCCGTGTAAACTTAAAAATGTTGATAGTATCAGAAAACATTCCAGTTATATTCGAAAGACTTCGCTACCTATATAAACAGATGATAGAGGGCATCTTATTTTGGCTGAATATTTTAAACATTTATCTGTTGAGCAAGCAGCACAATTACATAGGTATGGCATATCAGTGTGGTTTTAACTTCTCCGAGTTAGAAGCAAAGTTATGATATTTAATAACTAACATTTATTGTGTTCTTACTGTGTACTAAAGGCTTGACTGAACATTACATGTGTTACCTAATTTAATCCTTTTAACAGCCCTAAGGTGTGGGGGGGTACTACATTTATCCTTACTTTACTGATGAGAAAACTGAGTCCAGAAAACATTTTTTCTGAGTCAGTACAAGAGCTGGTAAACAGGAAAGCCGGAATGAGCACCTGGGTGGCTTGCCTTCAGATGTCGTGTTACTAACCACAGCGCCATACTGCTTCTAAAGTTGTGTTGCCATCGATCTCCATGTTGGTTGGTAAAATGGATTTCAGTGTTTTTTATGATATGATAGGATATGAAATGCAAGGAAATTATTGAACATTGTCAAGTCCTTTGAAAAACACTGGGTTATTTCCGATAGATGAATGGGACATACTAGTTATGCTTTAAGAAAAAGCAGCTTTTAAAGGGGAATTCTGAAATGACCTTTAGTTACGGAGTAGTTGAAAATATAGGAAACATTAAAACCAATTTGTTTTTATTAACTTTTTATTAATATTTTTAGCTGGGAGAAAGGAGAGATCCTGAATGGATTTTCTTAGTTA